AAGGGGGGCAGTGGGGGGCGATCAGGTTGTCAGGAGAGGGCACTTGGGATTGATCAGGCCTGCAGGGGAGGGCAGTTGGGGGCAATAAGGCTGGCAGGGGAGGGCAGTTAGGGACAATCGGGCCACAGGGATTGTGCCTACACCGGCAGTTGGACATCCCATGAGGGGTCACAGATTGGAGAGGGTGCAGGCCAGGCTGAGGGACACCCCCCCCATGTGCATGAATTTCATGCACTGGACCTCTAATAATCAAATAATTGGCTTGCATAAGACTTCACCCAGTTTTGAAGTGTGAAAAACTGTGAATGGTCAAGTGTCTCAAAATAGGCACTTGGCTAAACAAATTAGGGTATGTCCACACATTGAAACATCATGCAAGTCTTGACAATGTTGATGAACACCTACACTTATTTACTTGGAAAAAATTCAGCATATAATCTTAAGTGGGAAAAATAGGCTGCATAAGCACATATACTTTTTAATGAATAAAAGTATATATTTAGCCAGCACCGGTTTGGCTCAGTGGATAGAGCGTCGGCCTGCGGACTGAAGGGTGCCAGGTTCGATTCCGGTCAAGGGCATGTTTGGGTTGCGGGCACATCCCCAGTGGGACATGTGCAGGCGGCAGCTGATCGATGTTTCTCTCTCATCAATGTTTCTGACTCTCTGTCCCTCTCCCTTCCTCTCTGTAAAAAATCAATAAAATATATTTTTTAAAAAAGTATATATTTAAATGATCTCTATGTAAAAATTCTGATGTATACTCTGAGGATATTAATAGTTGCCTATGGGTGTTAGAGTGATGGGTGATTTTATTGGTTTTTAACTCATCTGTATTTTCTGACTTTTATATAATAAACCTGGATTTTTTACATAATTTTCCAAAAGGAAACTCATGGATTCAGGTTAAGGAGGACTATAAATAGAATTTTAGGGACCTAGATCAGAAATATAAATGGAGGTTCACATATTTGTGTCTAAATATTTAGAAGGTATAAATTAAACTGTTAAATATTATTTTTAAAAAGCTGTAAATGTTTGAAAATTTAAGTAATGTTAATCATTTTAAAAGTAAAACTATTCTCAATTCTAGCATCTGATGGCAACCAACTTTCTAATGGAAAAAAATATATCATACTTGTTGATTGTGCAATCTGTTGCCTTAATCTCCCTTCAGGAATAAAGAGCTTATTATTTTAGTTGCTAGGAGTGATGCCAGCAGACATCCCTCAGCTGTCAGCCCTCTTCAGGAATTGCCTCAGTTGGAGAGTCACCTCCACCAAGGTTATACCCCCTTCCTGGGGTATTTCACATGCAATGACTGATTGACATGGCCTTCTTGCTCCAAATGGCATAGCTTAATTTCTCCCTCTGTCCAATCCTACTTCCTTTCTTTTCCCTTCTACAGGTGGTGATCTCAAGAGCATTACCTAATAAAAACCCTTCATGCTGTACTCTGTCTCTGGGTCTGCTCTCCAGGAAGCCAGTCTATAGCAGTTGGTATGAGAAGCAGTTGAGGAAAGCATACATTGTGATGAAAATTTGCATATAGATCACCTGCTGCAATGAGGACTCCATCATTGGTGGTAGGTGGAGTAGATAGGCACCTGGAATAGATACGTGGCAGAGAAATTGTTACAGCTTGTACCGGACTGGGATGGTGCTGGTGGAAGGGAATACATTAACTGGTGCCATGTAGCAGCTCTTTGAGAAATATTTGGGATATATTAAATATAAGAAAGGCTAGGAAATTGGATGGCTATTGTTGAGCTTGATTGACCTCTAGAAAAAAATAATAAAAAGCTGAAATAAAGTAATCAACAATTAAAATCTATGTCAAAAAGCCAGAGGGCTTCATTTGAGGACAAGTCCTGGGACTTAATGGAAGCAAGTTTCAAAGAAAGTTAAAATCCAAACCAAGACAAGTCTGCTATGCCATATCAGGGCCTGGAAGATATGGGACCCTGATGCATGGGATGGGGACAAGTTGGGTTAGTTTTTCATCTTGATGCTGGTTTCTTTTTGCTGTGCAGAAACTTTTTGTTTTGATGTAGGTTCCATTTGTTTATTTTTTTTCCTTTGTTTCTCTTGCCCTGGGCTTTGAGTAAGTGAAAACTCTGCTATGTGAGATGTCTGATATTTTGCTGCCTATGTTTCTTCTAGGATTTTTATGCTTTTACAACTTACATTCAAGTCTTTTATCCATTTTGAGTTTATTCTTGTGTACGGTGTAAGTTGGTGGCCTAGTTTCATTTATTTTGCATGTACCTGTCCAATGATCCCAATACCACTTAATGAAGAGACTGTCTTTGCTCCATTGTATATTCTTGCCTCCTTTGTCAAATATTAATTGAGCATAATGGCTTGGGTCAATTTCTGGGTCCTCTGTTCTGTTCCATTGATCTATATGTCTGTTCTCGTGCCAGTACCAGGCAGTTTTGAGAACAGTGGTTTTGTAATATAGCTTGATATCTGGTAATCCCTCCAACTTTGTTCTTCTTTCTCAGGTTTCCTGCAGCTATTCAGGGTCTTTTTTGGTTCCATATAAATATTTGGAGTATTTGTTCCAGATCTGTGAAATATGCCATTGATATTTCAATAAGGATTGCTTTGAATCTATAGATTGCTTTAGGTCAGTGGTTCTCAACCTTCCTAATGCCGCGACCCTTTAATACAGTTCCTCATGTTGTGGTGCCTCCCAATTCTTTTTTATGAATCTCATTTATTTAAAACAATTTCTCACCTTCTCAAATTGAAGACTGCAAAAAATAAAAGTGCTTTTCTGAATTGTCGTTAACCCTGGGAGCAGCGTTGTCCACACTCGGTGACCTGTGCCCTGAACCCAGCTCACACATGCCCAATCTATCCCACCTCCCTTACAAAACAGTCCTGAAGCTATTTGTTCCAGATCTGTGAAATATGCCATTGATATTTCAATAAGGATTGCTTTGAATCTATAGATTGCTTTAGGTCAGTGGTTCTCAACCTTCCTAATGCCGCGACCCTTTAATACAGTTCCTCATGTTGTGGTGCCTCCCAATTCTTTTTCACACTCCGTGACCTGTGCCCTGAACCCAGCTCGCACATGCCAAATCTATCCCACCTCCCTTACAAAACAGTCCTGAAGCTTAATCAAATAAAGCTACTGTACACGACATATACATTAGAAAAAGACAGCTGGATGAAGGAAAGCCAGGTGTGCTGTTCCCTTTAGGTAAAGTTTGCTCCACAGTTGGGACATCTTCGCTTCCTCAAGGCAAAACAGCAGATGAACCCAAAGGGGGAAAAGACGATGGCCAATAAGATGCCCAGGAAGGTGAAGGAGTCCTCCAGAACCCCGACTCTGCAGACTGGGCAGCCGCCAACGACAACGATGGAATTGGCAGGGTACTGGGTGACATTTCGACTGTGGATGTTGTAGACCCTGGGGTGGTGAATAGGTATCCCTGTGACGAGGTAGGGGTAGGGCGGTGGCAGGGGGGCAGCGGGGATGGCGCAGTAGCCATGAGGGCCGCAGGCAAAGTCGCCCTGGCCGGCCTCCAGGTTGTAGGTGGGCGGCTGGTCCTGGCAGCGGCTTACGAAGAAACTGAGGCTCAGAGGTTATAGTGCAGTGGTTCTCAACCTTCTTAATGCTGCGACCCTTTAATACAGTTCCTCATGTTGTGGTGACACCCAACCATAAAGTTATTTTTGTTGCTACTTCATAACTGTAATTTTGCTACTGTTATGAATCGTAATGTAAATATCTGATATGCAGGATGTATTTTCATTGTTACAAATTGAACATAATTAAAGCATAGTGATTAATCACAAAAACAATATGTAATTATATATGTGTTTTCCGATGGTCTTAGGCGCCCCCTGTGAAAGGGTCGTTCGACCCCCAAAGGGGTCGCGACCCACAGGTTGAGAACTGCTGCTTTAAGTAGTATGGACATTTTAATTCTACCAATCTATGAACACGGTATATTTTCAACTTGTTTATATCTCCTATCTCTTTTTTCAACATTCTGTAGTTTTCTGAGTATAGGTCTTTTACCTTCTTGGTTAAGTTTATTACTAAATATTTAATTTTTGGTTGCAATGGTAAATAGGATTGTTTTATTAGTTTATCTTTCTGAGAGTTCATTATTGGTGTATAAAAATGCCATTGATTTCTGGGTGTTAAGGGATAGATATTTTGATAGTTGATACAAACCCTATATTGGTTCCTTGACTTGTGGAGCTATTTATAAATTAGAAGGCCAAGTGGAAGCTTCTGAAACTGCTCTCCCTTTTTTTGGCCAAGATAGCAAATGAAAACATAGCATCTTTGGGAGGATGGCAGAAGTTAGTGCCACCTTTAAAGACCTAAAGAATGCTGGGGTGAGGTCTCATCATATCTCCATTTCATGTGCCAGTTGGTCACTGGAAGAATGTTGTCATAGCCTGGTAGATGACAGTAGACAATTGCAAACTCAATCAAATAGATACATAAGTGCAGCTTCTGTATTTGATACATTAACTTCACGAGAGGAATGACATGGTCTTAAGTACCTAATAATCAGCTACTGATTTGGAAAATGTGTATTTTTTTTCTATCCCTATCATGAAACATCAGAAGTTTATATTCACATATAATGGACAACAGTATGCATTTGTAGTTTTTTTTTTTTTCTCAAGGCTCTACTAACTTTCCTGTCCTCTGTCATAATATAGCCTGAAGAGATCTGGAGCATCTGAATATAATACTAGTCCACTATGTTGATGATATCATGCTAATTGGACCAAAATGAGTAAGAAGTGGCTAGCACATTAGAGATCTTGGTAAGACACATGCACCACAGAGGATGGGAGATAAACCCTACAAAGATCCAGGGACTGGTTACATTAAGTTCAGTTTTTAGGAGTCGAATGGTCTGGGGCATGCCAGGAGATTCCCTCCAAAGTAAAGGACAAATTACTGCATTTTTCACCTTCCCCACTATGGAGGAAGCTCAATATTTTGTAGGATTCATTGGGTTCTGGAAGCATCACATTTCACACCTGGAATTACTATTTCTACCCATATATTGGGTGACACAAAAAGTTGCCAGCTTCAAGTGGAGCCTAGATCAAGATAAGGCCCTATAACAGGTCCAGGACGCAGTTTTGAGCAGTCTTGCCACTTGGCCAATACAATAAATATACCCTAAGGTATTAGAGATATTTGTGTTGGCAAAAGGTGCTGTGTGGAGTTTTTGGTAAGCCCCAATGGGAAAGTCACAACTTAGCCCAGAACTTAGGTTGTGGAGAAAAACTATGTCACATGCAATGGAGAATTAGATACCATTTAAAAACAATTCCTGATATGCTACTGTATTATGATAGAGATGGAGTGGCTGGCCAGAGGACAAGTGACCATGTAAGTGACCGTGCATATGGAACTGCCCATTGTAACCTGAGTTCTGTTGGATCCACCAAGGTATAAGGGTGGACAGGCCCAGCACTAAGATGAAAGTTACACATGGGATGAGGAATTGAGGGCACAAGTGCCTGCACAAGCAGCTAGAGCAGATCCTCCATGATATCCATCATTGTAGCACTAGCACTTTTCACTTACCTTACACCAGTGCCTTCATGGGGGATCTCGTTTGATGAACTGATTGAGAAGGAAAACCTAAGCATTATTCATAGATTGGTGAACTTGGTATGTGGGTACTAGCAAGTATAGCAACTTCAGCCTGCAAAAGTCATGGTGATCAGAAATGAAGGTCTGGGTAATATCACCAAATAAACCATCAAGACCCCAAGAGTAATGAGAATCTATAATTGATAATGGAACAGGGAGATGGTCATTTTCAGCTTTGAGACCAGCTGCAGAGTTGGCAGCTGTAGTTTGTCCTAACTTTCCCCCAGAAAGAGAGGCCCATCAGACCCCTGGAAAAGTTAATCCCAGAACTTATATGCAGTGGATCTTGGAAGCACAAGGGATAGACTGCGGTGGATACTGCAATTTCCTGACCAGATTTCCCATTAGCAATAAAGGCCTTATAACTTCAGTTGTTAGAAATTGTGCCATCAGAGAGCCCTTGGCTGTTAGCCTCCTTTAGGATTGCATCAACTGAGACTTGTCTTATTTAAGAACACATCCCATTCTCAGGACGGCCCACATCCAATGACTCATTGATGCTGTGTATAAAGGCCTGGCCCTCATGCTCCTTAAGATAGCTTTGAAGTTTCATCCTATCTTCAGAATTCCCTACAGGGTATGCTGAGGCATTCCATTGGTAATGCACTGAAATTTGATTTCTTCCTCTTTTCATTCCTGCTTCTTTTCTCCCTTTCCTTCCATGATTCCAGGAACACTACTTAATAAACCTCCTATACCCTAACCTTTGTTCCAGAATCTGCTTCCTGGGAAATCTAGTATGTGACAATGCTTTAAACACGTTACATCTACTAGTATCTATCTTTTTATCTATCTTAATATCAAGAATAATATGAGTTGTTTAATATTGTGAACTTTTCTTTAGCTTCCATATGCAACTGTTATAGTTTTTTTTATTACCTCTGGAACCACAAACTGGGAACTAAAGGCAAGCAAGAAAATGGACATTACTGGGGAATGATAGTTTGTTAAGCAAAAAAACCTATTGTAGTCATGTATGTGGGAAGAAGGCTTTGACAAGTTAGCATGTTTTTGTTGTTGTTGTGGTTCCCTATGTGCTTCCACTGCTCAAATCTTCCATGCAGTTTGAAATAATGTCTGTCTTTATGCCTATAGTGGCACAATATACAACTTTTCATGGCATTTGGACACAGTTACCTTTGATTTAGAGGATGCAGGGAAACAGACATGAAGAAGCATTTTCCTGGAGCTTGAATAGTGTTAGTCAAAGTGCAGATGTTTAGGGTTAAGAGTTGCATTCTTCCAACAATGAGCATCATGTGACACAGGCACTCATATGTTCTTGTGTGTGTGTGTGTGTGTGTGTGTGTGTGTGTGTGTGTGTGTGTGTTAGAGATATGCAGGACACTTTAAGCATGGGGTTTAGGAGAGCCCTTGTGCCCAGTTCTAAGGGAAGCGCTGAGGCTAGAATAGCAGTGGATAACAGTTGTTGACGTTTTGGAGAGTTAAGTGTTCTTATAGCTAGTTCTGGGTCTGATTGTGGTCCCAGATCCCCAGATTCTTTATTCTACTGTTGTTATAATAGACTCACAGCTCAGAGGTTGATTTAAGGTTTGGGGTACAGTGACCTTGCAGGTTCATGTACATTTGAGGAATAATTTGATATAATTTTTTGAAGATGAAAATGCACTCCTTCTTTTTGGGCAAAAAAGACCAATTTCTGGGAAACACATGAACTAATTGGCTCTGAAGGCAGTGTAGCATAGGGGAAAGTGTGAAATCTGGAGTAGTGGATGAAGGAGGAAGGATAAACATTTATCTTCCCTTTCTATTTTTCAAACATGAAAGAGCAGATTTGGGAGGGGAAGGAAATTAATCTTATTTGAACTCTGAATTTGAGGTATCTGTGGGAGTTCCGAGTGGAGATGATCAGTGTCCATTTGAAAAGTATGGATCTAGAGCTCAAAGATCTGACTAAAGATATGTATTATAGTTGATAACTAAAACTAGGAAGTGAGTCACATAGCCCCAGCAAGGGAAACAGATTGAAAAACTGAGGACAGAATGTTGAAGAAGCTCAATATGTGTGGAACTTTGACAGAATTGAAACAGAGGGTATAGCCACCCATCAATATTACAACACACATCTCTGTACATTATTTTATCCCTCTTTTTATTTTTATTTCCCCACTAAAAATTATTATATAGTACACAAAATATTTACCAACTTCACCATTTTTAAATGTGCAGTTCATTGACATTAAGTGCATTCAACTTGTGTAACCTTTTCCACCATCCATCTTCAGAACTATTTTTATCTTCTTAAACTGGAATCCTGTACCCATTAAACAATAACTCCCTATTATCCTGCCCCCTTGGTCCTTGACAACCACCGCTCTACTTTCTGTCTCTATGAATTTAACTATCCAAGGAAACCCATATAATTAGAATCATACAGTACTAGTATTTGTCCTTTTGTGACTGGCATATTTCACTTAGAATGATGTTCTTTATTAATCTGTTTGGGCTGCTAGAACAAAATACCACAGACTGGGTGACTTAAACAACATAAATGTATTTTCTCACAGTTCTGGAGGTTGGAAGGTCCAAGATTAGGTGTTGGTAAATTTGGTTTCTGTGAGTTTTCTTACTGGCTTGTAGGTGTGACCTCACATGGTCTTTCCTTGGTATGTGTGTATGGAGAAAGAGAGAGAGAGAGAGAGAGAGAGAGAGAGAGAAAAGAGGGCACTTTCTGGTGTCTCTTCTTTTTTTTTTAAACAAATATTTTTATTTATTTATTTTTTTATTAAATCTTTATTGTTCAGATTATTACATTTGTTCCT